GATGCCCTTGAAGAACAGGTAAGATGAAAAAGTTGTACTACACCTGTATGTGCTGAAGGATGAGCTTACACTGAGCAGGAAGTTTCACAGGAATTCAGGGGAAAAAAGATCATGTATCACCTCTGGGGAAAGGGGCAGGTAACTCAGGAAATGTTTAAGGGTATCCTTAGGTCATGCAGGAAAAATCAGGACTTAATCTGGMCACCTCTGTAAACGGTAATACTTTTGATAAAAACAAAAGGAGGGCCAAGGWAAACCTCCATTTGTTATTGGAGTGTCCATCACCAAAAACAAGGCTGAGSTACTTAATACCTTTTATTCACAGAAAAAGGAGGCTCAGAGGGRCATTCCCAYGCTCCACAATTCCCYGACAGGAGAGTGGAGCTGGGTGGGAGTTGGGCACCGCTCCCAGGGAACAAGGGACRGGACAAGAGGACATTGTCCTAAGCTGCACCAGGAGGGATTTAGGTTGCACATCAGGAAGGATTTTTTCAHRGAAGGGGTGATTAGGCACTGGAATGGGGTGCCCARGGAGGTGRTGACACTGGGYGTGTTTAAGGACATGGCMCTCAGSGCCCTGGTCTGGTTGAGAAGGTGATGATCGGTCACTGGTTGGACTGAAATCTTTTCTGACCTCATRGRTTCTGATTCCTTGCGTTTGCTGTGCTCTGTGTCCCTCCCAGCATGACATCCCAAGGGAAATGGCACTGGAAGGATTGTCTTCCAGACATTCCAAATATTGCAGCACACTGTTCCAGGGATTCCAATTGCCACAGGCTGAGTTCTGCCCTTTGGTGTGACTTTGGTTTCCTTCCCCATGTTACCGAGCACTCTTCTCTAAAAGCAACTTCACAGGACTTATGTCCTTAAATTTTAAATTTTAACTCAGAATTCCAATTGAAATCACAATCCCTAAAAGATCTGTGCACTCAAGTGTCCCAGTTTCTCTGGAGGTGACCCAGGGCACAATTTTAACTCAGCCTTGCTCTGATATTCACAGCCCAAAGAAAATCCAGTGGAGGAACTGCAATCAGCAAGAAATAGCTGTGAGGAAGAACCAGAGGAGGAAGTGCTAGACCTGGCTGAGAGGTATTTTCCTGCCTTGGGTGGTGGGATTTGGATGTGCTCCTGATTCCAGGGAATGCTAACAGAACATACAACCCACTCCTTTCCCTTCTGAYACAGTAGTGAAGAAACTGACTCTGAAGCACCTGCCCAGGGAGAATTGCCACACCGTGCCCTCCAGGAATACCCAATCAATAACATGGTGATGGGTAAGTACACCCGGAAAGGGCTGCGAGTGAGGCAGATGGAGCAGGGACCCAGAGAGCCCCTTTTCCCTCTGCAGGCTATGCCTCTGCACGARACATGAAGAAATACGAGGGGGAACTGCATGACTTCATCCCTGGCACCTYGGGCTACACGGCATACTGGGTTCACCCGAAATTTAGCATGTACTGYGAGAAGACCAAAATGAAGAGGAAATTGGAAGGATCAGGTGGCTGGAGCAGCAAAAGTTTCAATTTAAGAGCTGCCAGATGACTTATAAATTAAGATGACTTATAAATTATGTGACTACAGCTCAGAGTGTTCAGTGCATAATTAAGTATTGGCGGCTACAGTTATTGCAGTATGTTTTTGTAATTCCTTAAATTTTACAAGAAATAGAAATACAGGCATTTCTCCCCAAAACTCAGATATTTTCTATTTATTCCTGCGGGGCCRTTTAAGCAGTGTTTAACTTGTTTAAGCAAGTTTTCCTTGGAGGAGCACAACAGTATCTGCCTGCTTTTATTTAATCATGGAATTTTTAGATTTTTCCCTTTTGTTGAAGCGCTTGAAAGTGACCAAGTGTGGTTATAAAAAACAACCTCAATTGTGGGACAACCTGACGCTTGGGCTGTTCACTTGGAAGAAGCACAGGCAAACCTATGACGTGCTCCACAGGCTCCAAGGATCACCACCGTTGTCCTCTCCCACTGCCCCAAAGGCACAAGAGCCTCTAAAATAACAGCTTTGCACCTCACATCCCAAACCACCAGGAAAGAACCCAACAAGATGCTGGTACACATGAAATGGTTGAGTTCTCTGCATGCTCCAACATGGCAGTCTGAGAACCCACCCTCCTTCATCCCTTGGGTGTCTAAAGACCAGGCAGGCTGAGATGKTTTCCTCACTTTTATTGGAAAACTGACACACAGGGACAGACTCARAGCGCTCCTCGGGGCGTCTTGAAGTTCATCCCCACCGTGGGCTGTGTCACCTGCAGGTTGGACAGGCTGCCAAAGTCCTGGAAAACAGCACAGCGACAACRGCATCAGTCACAGCACCCTGCCCACCTTCAGGGGCTGGGGGGGTCAGTTCCTCTGGGGAGGTGTGGGAAGGTGCTGTGGCAGCACAAAGGGTGGACTGACGTCTCTTAAGGAGGGGAGACCACCCAGTGCCAGAGATCACCTCCTTGGTGAGGGAATCATCAGAACCCATGGAGGCAGGGAGCACACCCACCCTGTTAGTGGCAAAGCCCCMATGCCTCTGCCCTCCCAAAAGCCATACAGGAATTAATCCTCCCACAGGATCCAGGGCAGAAGGATCCCGTCACACCATCCAGCTACTCAGGGCAGCASGAGCTGTGCCARGGATGTGCCAGCAGCTGGRCAGAGAACARCTGTGGCCACTCACCAGGAGCTTCAGCATTTCCTTGGTGTCTGGGTCCACTTCAATGATCTCCTGGTCGAGGGCAGAGACCTGGGGATGGAGAGCAGAGAAAGGTGTGACTGATAAAGCCCTGTAACTTCCAGGGTGTCCCCACAGCCGCTCTGGTCTCATCCCACTGCTGTGGGGAACAGCTCCAGCACAGCACCAGGAGGATCCTGACGGAACACATCTCTCCTGACAGAACACTGCAAGAGAACATCAGCAGTAGGGCAAGAGCCTGTTCTATGGGAAATCTTTGGAGACCAGGGCCCAACTTGCTTTCAGGCCAAGGCTGCTGAGGAGCTGACATTGAACCCACAACTGCAATGGCCCTGGCAGTCATCAGAAACACAGTTACCTTGTCACACAAGTGCACCACAGTACCRACCAAGGCTGTCCTACTTCCAAGASCTGTRCTCTCYTGCTCTTCAATCCCAGAGAAACTTCCTGCAGCCCTTCCCCGACTCCAAACCTCCACAGGATTCCTTCCCCAAGAGCTACATAACAGCAGGATTTTTCTTAGATGCAAACAGTACACATTTACRTACTGACACTTAACCACAGCTGCAGCACGGACATGTCCTTCCATGCTTGGAGATYCTTCCCTGGTACCAGCACTGCAGGAGTGCCAAGGTAGCAGAACTGAGCAGCCTTCTGCAGCTCAGCAACCAGCAGCTCTGCCAGGAGCCCCCTGGGAGAGGGACAAGATGTGCTGAGCATAAACGCTACAGAATTTGGGAGCAACAGGATCATATCCCTGGAGCACAGGAACAGGTGAGATCTTCAGCCTGTTCAAATGGAGKGTTAAGGCAAGGGGGTTTCACCAAAACTCTCTCTGGGGACACTGGCTGCAGGGCAGGTTTTGAACCACTCTGAAATACTYTCCTGCTTCCCATCAAATTATTATTCTCCCCCATTTGAAGTTAGGAAAACCCAACCACAAGAAGGCAGCTACCCTTCCTGCCCCAGGTAGCAAGTATGGAGGGATACACCACAGCCCCCTTGATCCAAACCCTCCTCTCCTSCTCCCAAGAGGTTTGTTTTAGAAAATCCTGGGACCATTTATGGAGATATACTGAGRCAGGACAAAGCGACAGGGAAGCTGTAGCCTCACCTCTGGGACGTAGTTGTCCCTCCTCTCCCTCTCCTCCTCCTGCAGTTTGATGGAGATGCCGCGGACAGGGCCCCTCTGAATTCGCTTCATCAAGTGGGTGACATACCTGTGGGGACAAGGGGGTGTCCAGGGCTTCCCCAGGGCTCCTGTCGCCCTTACCCACACCCCAAAATCCCAGAACCGCAGCAGGATGAAGACAGCTGCCACCACCCACCCAGCTATGTCCCACCACTGACCCCCACAACAGCCACCCCTTCCAGAGGACATCAGAGACCAAGTGTCCGACAGCAACAGGGTTTGAAGGGGACACGGACCCCCCCAAACACGGGAAAGCTTTCGCACTCCTCTGCCTGCACTATCAATGACCCGGCCACGAGCGGGACCGTGATCACTTTCGAATGCAGGGCCTAGCAGAACCCCCCCCACGCCGTGCCCGAATCCCCAGGCCCTTCCGATGCCCAAACCCCCCGGTACAYCCCGAGCTGCCTAAAGCCCATCCGGGCTCTTGCAATGTCCGAGCCCCGTGGGATCCTCTGGTGTCCAAAGCCCACCCGGGACTCTCCAACGCGCACTATCCAGCCAGGACCCCGCTGTTGCCCGAACCCCCAGGGCCCAAAGCCCGCCCGGGACACTCGGTGSCTCACCCCGCAATCTTGTTTCGCAGCTTCTTGCTGGGGATGATGGCGATCTCCTCGCACACGCGTTTGTTGGTGTGGAAGTCATTTCCAAGGCGCGTATAGTACTTCTCGATGATCACCCGCGCCGCTTTCTTCACCGTCTTCGTCCGGACGCGTCCCTGCGCGGGGGCGGGCGAAACGGCCGCCGGTCAGGCCCCGCCGAGCCTGGGCCCAGCGCCCACCRCCCCGTCCCTCCCTGTCCCCAGTGATTGCGGCCCCCCGCCCTCCGCAGCCCCTCGCCCCGGATCCCCCCCCATCCCCACCGCCACTCCGCGGCGCGGGGGCGCCGGCCCGCCCCAGGATGGCGGCGGATGGCGGGACCGGGACCCACCATGTCGACGGCGGCCGCGGAAAGAGAGCGGAAGGCAGGGGGAGGCGCCGGAAGGCCGCTTCGCCTACAGCTCCGCCTGGCGGCTCGGAGGGTTCCAGCGGAGGGATGAAGGAAGGCGTGGTCTCTGTGGGCGTGGCTCAGCCCCTCCCGGAGCCGGATCCCGAGTGCTCCACAGAGCCCCGGGACAGGATACGGGAGCCCGGGAGGGGAATCTGGGGCACCAGGTGCGCCAGGGACACCARCCCCTCCCACACCGGGCCCTGAGCACCCACAAACTCACAGCACCCGCGGGAGCAGCACCCAACAGGACAGGTGACCACAAGGACACGGCTGCTGAAGCATTAGCACTGTGGGACCATGGCAGGAGCCCAAAGCCTTCCCTGCTCCAGGGTGTGCACGGTGGCAGCATAAGCTCAACTCAGCCCTGCAGAGAGAAGCCTTGGGGTCCCTCTCCCATTACAGCCCTGCAGGGTGTCACCCTTCCCTTACCACTGTGGGAGTACACAGGGCACCACAGGCCTCTCCAATCAGCCTCATTAACTTGCTGCTGCAATTAGGGAAGCTCCAGCTAGAGCCCAGGGTCCCACAGGCACCTCGAGTAAGTGAGAGCTAAAAATGCATCTTCAAGCCCAGAAAGCTCTCTCCCACAGGAGTCAGCTACAGCACACCAGAATCCACAGCCCCATCCATCCCTCCCCCCAAAACACATCCACAGCTTCCTCCCCTCTGCGAGGTAACTCCACAGCCCCCCCAGCTGCAGAGATCCCCCGTGATGCACAAGGCACTAGAAAGGTAATTTTTTTTGCTGCAACGTGTTTATTATGTGCCAAAAACTACACCACAGCTTACTCCACGCATCTGTAGGAGAGTGCAGTCTTGCCTGCATATACTACAATGAGGTAGAGACTTCACACACAGCTTCACAAAACCCCACAAAGAGCAGCTGGGATATGCAAYAATGCAACATCAGCTCAGCAGGAAAGAAAAAAAAAATAATCGTAGTAAAGAGGGAGAAATTATGACACTGGTTCTTTGGCACACAGCTTCCAATAGAGGGGAAAGTAAAAAACAATAGTAATCGGCATAATTAAAGGTCTCAAATCCCAGCAGCAGCATTTCAGTTGACTGCACTGATACTCCAAACATCTCGGGAAGGAAAGGAAAATTACTTGTCCCCTCTAAGAGAAAGGGCTCCCAGGAACCTTCATCGTCCACCAAAACGCAGCCCTTTTTTAGCTTGTTACAAAAGAAAAGGTTAAGTCCTGTGACTTTGTGTGATTAAAAACCTCTATCAACCCCCCTTAAGTGCAACTTAAAAAAGTGCAACAAACTATTTAAAACTATATACAGCAGCTCAGAGATCCTCATCCCGTCCAGTTTCAAATCCAAAAACAAAAACAAAGCCCGGCCTGTCCCGTTGCAAACCCCTGGGTTTACAACGTCCTGCCAGCAGCCCCCAGACACAAGTTGCAATAATGTTAAAAGCTGCCAGGAAAGAAAAAATCTCTCGTTTCAAACGACTTAAAAACTGTTTTTAAGAGTGTAAAAAGGAACTCGTAAAAACCCTCGAGCGTAAAATATGAAATATGATTTGGTTTAAATGAAGAGCAAAGTCTCCTTGTTGTTACAGTAAAAAACGCCAGCTGAACACCCAGGTCACACCGTCCAGGTGGGGGTAAATGAATGGAAAGGCACTGTATGGCAACGGCAAAACAATGACCAATGAGACCTGCGCTCTCTCCACCAGTATTGCAAGGAATGTAAAAAAGCGCCTTTAAAAAATAAAAAAACCAGGGCGGAGGCGCCTGCAGTGACGCCTCCGCGACACGCGGCCCTTGGTTGGTTGGGTTTACTCGTGTTCAATTTCTGCTTCTCGTCAGCAAACCAGGAACCAAAGTCTGGGAACTGCAGAATGGCTTGAGGGGCGCTCGCCCCCTCAAAACACCCCCAAACAAACCCCAACAAAACTCACTGTGCATTAGTGCAGAAACAAAAAGACCAGCAAGTGCAAACATGAATGTAAGATTTTTGTTTTTTCCCCGTCAGTCCTCAGGAAGAACGTTCCCAGCCGGGTCTGGCTCCAGCAGGCGCTGCTGCGCTGTCCTCGGGGCAGGTTCTCCCAGGACTCTGCCCGCGGCAGCCCCGCGCCCGGCGGCCCCTTAGCTGGAGTCCCGGTTCTTCTGGTTGCGCATCAGCGGGCGGTGGTGGCGCAGGACCTCCATGGAGTGCTGCCAGTGCCAGCACGAGCGGCAGAAGTACTTGAAGCAGATCTGTGAGCAGAGCAGAGGGGAGATGCTGGTGAGTCTCCAGCAGCAAAGGGACAGCAGCCACTGGCAGAGCCRCTCCCTCCCTGCCTGCTCTCACAGMCCCCTCSAGAYCCTCAGCGGATCCGTGCGCTGGAGAGAGGGAGCACCCACAATGCTGTGGAGGGCACGCTGTGGCCAGCTTCCATCTTCTGAACGGATTTCCAAATCAGGGCCTAGGCACTAGGGCAGCAGCTGGGCTCTGCCAGCAGTCCTGTCACACCCATAGCATTCCTGCCTGCTGCTCATCTCCATCCTGAGATAGGAGGAACTCGGCAGGAAGCTGCCACGGCCCAGCCAAGCTTCTTTGCTTGCAGCGAGGTGAGGCCAACAAGAGTTCCCTGTGCCCTCAGGCAACCCTAGGACTGACCCCTGGGGGGGGGATACACCCCCCTGACCCCCAGCTCCTCAGAGTCCCAGAGCAGCATCCTGCCCTCCCCTCAGTGGCACCAGCCCATCCCACGCTGGCCCCAGTTCTGGCAGAGCACCAGTGACCTGACCTGGCTCAAAGCTGGGTGGACACTGCCTGCCCAGCCCTACTGGTGCGTACCAAAGCTGCTCTCCCCATGAGGGCTGCATCACCTCCACAACAAAGCCACCCTCCCAGCTGGGCCCCATCTTGCCCAGCAGGGAAGGGAGCCTGTGTATAGCCCCAAAATCCAACACAAGCACTGCTGTGTTTGTGCCTGCTTCCCCTCAAGGACCCCGCAAGCACAGGGTGCAGACCTGGCCTTACCTGGTCTCTGCAGAAGAACGGGCCAGGCTGGGCATTGCACACTTGGCACATGGAGTCTTCCAGGTACGGGTCAATCTGAACCTGCACAGAACCAGGCACTGGGCATGGAGCACAGCCAGGCTGACCCCAAACCCATCCCAGCAGCACCCCTTGGGGCTGGCAGAGCTGGAGCTCCCCATGTGTCCCTGCCTGAGCAGGATATGGGGTGCTCCCAGCAGTCCCACCCATCACACAGAGCCCCCCTGGGCTGCCCCACCAGCCCCACTCACCTTCTTGGTAAACTTGGTGGTTTTGATCTCCACAAACGCAGCGGTCACGGCCTTCAGGTAACTGCGCTGGTTGTTGAAGGTGACACGACCCGAGCCTGCAGTGAGCCAGAGCACAGCAGAGACTGAGGGGGAGCCACTGCCAGCCATCCCCCCTGCCCTGATGCCACCCAGCCAGGGAAGCAGCTTTGGTGAGGAGATGGTGTCCAGAGCCTGGGGGCTCTTCCTGCCCCCTTCCCCAGCTCCACATTTCCAGGAGCAGCAGGGGCAGCTTCACACTGCACYTGAAACGCTCTGTGCCAAGACAGCTCAGCAGTTTTTGTTCCCAGCCTCCCCCTCAGCCCAGAGCCTTGTGTTTTGCAGCCTCATTGCCAGTCAGCAGCATTCCTATACCACTCACTTCCAGATAAGGTTCCAGGACTCATACAGATCCCTACAGCTCACCCACAGCACACCTGAACCCATTCATTCCCCTCCCAGAGCATTGTACTGGTCACAGGCAGCAATTCTGGGGTCCTGTTTGGGGACACAGGAGATTCCTCAATCAGCACCAGCAGCCGAGGCTCAGCCTAATTACCTGACCTGGGCTCTGATTGCTGTGGCTTCAGCACAGCTCCAAGGGTGGCAGTGTCACAGAGCTGCTGGGAGATGGATCCCACCTACTTGGAGCATCCTGGGCCCTGCAAGCACCACAGGAGCTTGGGGTGATGCCCTGARATCTCACAGGGCCAGCACAGGGAGGGTCTGTGACATCCACAGTCATACTGACAATTTGTTAAAGGCTCACACTCCCACACCCACCCCCTCAGCACTGTCCCCCTGAAGGCACTTCGGCAGCTTTGCAGCACCACAGGCGTGTCCTAAACCTGAGCCTTGCCCAGAAAAGCCTGAGTGCTGCCCAAGGACAGTGGCAAGCAGTGACAGCTCTGACACAGTCACTGCCTCGCAACACCAGGAGATTCACAGTCTCTCGCAATTTGTGACTTGTACAGCCCAAGCCTGGAAAGCTGGTCCTCCAGCTCAGGCTGTGGGGGTTCTTCCAGCCATCTCAGCACCATCCCCTGGCCCATGAGGCCCCCAAGGAGATACAGCT